ATAATCACTAAGCCTAGTAGAAGTACCTAGTAGAGCATCTTTGAGTGATAAACATGCTACCATGGCAACCTATCCATCATCCTTAACCTATGTTTCAACTAAACCATTACTTGAGTAATATTTTCAATAATTAACAGATGTATGAAGAACACGCCGCGCAATAATGTAATAAAGAATCACATGACATCCAAAAAGTCCACACATTTTCATATGGATTGTATATGTTCATATTGATTTTAGTTGATAGCCCTAAAACGACATAAGTATCATTATAGGTACGGGTATCGATTCGGATGGTTACGTAAGAAGGCTATTAAGACGGAACAATATGCATCTAAAAGTGTTTGAGTATATAACTCTAGAATTAATTGAGTAAAACAGCACAAATAATAGCGTTTTAATACTTGGAAATATTATTCGTATACTCGTATATGTCTGCATGTGTGGACATTCTTCATGATTCGTTTCACGATGTTTTCACACTCAACGATTGAATATATATTAATCTGTTTGAAACTTAATAAAAAAAATAATTTAATATTTTCTAAAACCGCAAAGTTAGTCTGTCTTCAGAGTACTCAGTATTTTACGACTGTATCTGCATACATGTATTGAGAGCAACACCGATGTTTTTACAGAAGGCCAGCGTCAAAGCATACTGGAGATTATCTTGCAAAATAGATAAAACAATACTAAGAATTTAAAAGGGTTTGTATTGTGTGTAATACGTCCAATTATCATTGAAGTGTTTAAGAATGTGTAGTTTTTTGGATATGTAATGAAATACGCAATATGTTAGTAATTCCATATACATTAGTAATATGAACAATTATCGTAATGGACTTCAGCTTAATATATATTATATATATAAAGTATTGTTAGCTTAATCTTCAATGCAATAAACATCCTCACGGCACGATCGATCAAATATGTTTATGCGTACTTACATGGACTTGCGGCCAATAAAAAGCGGTCGTAGTTGGACCGATAGTGGTCTTTTCAGACCGATATATTCAAAACCAACATGCCATGAATCTACAAATAATAATGATGGCTCTAACTAAATGAATTCTAATTCGTCCACAAATCGTAAAAACTTATGATGAATATATTCAGATAGGTTTTGGGTGTCACAAACGAAGAATACATCAAGGAACACCGGTGTTATGAGTTTAAACGACACCATACTTTATCATGAAAACTAATACGATAAACATATGTCTCTCTGAATATTTGCTTACTTATAAATTTTGCTCTACGGAGTCTATTATTGCTGAAAATAACATCCTAAATCTACCGCATCATGATTGGTTGAAAGTTAATTAGGACTGCTTCAATATATTTCGATAGTTACGCTACGTGGCTACGATAATATGTTATACCAGCGCTCAGTACCCATTTTACGTCTAATTCTATCAAAATGCGACGACATCTGGTTCCCAGTTTGACCTCCAGAGATAATTATGTATAAGCCACCACAAACTAAAAGAGGAATTTATCTGGAAATGCAATGAGCACATTGTCATAAGATGCAGTACTAATCTAGTATTCATGGAAGCATATATTAAATATATTTATAAAATATATTAACCTAGAACCTAAGGAAAAAATTGTTGGTAAACTATAAAATCTAGATTACATCCTCACACGATTCACCTACAATTTACGATAATTGAAGAATACTTGTTATATATACAGTTGTTGCAGTTGACATCTTGACATGATATTTTTACTATGCTCGATTTTTTTGACGTAATTTTAGAAAGGACAACAGTCAAACCTGCAATCTCCCTGATAATTGACGGACACCCTAACCATTGGACCTTACATTACAGACCTGGAAACAAGGAACATTATACAATCTATAATTCTAGTACTATACGTAGCAATATTACATTCTGCTAAATCGCAAAACCTTCCTCAAGGCTTGTTTGTCGTAATCTGATATAATCAGATCTCCAAACATTTCTAAATTGTTGGCTTTCGCCATGTTTGTACAAGGTATAAATTATTCCCTCCCCAAATGTATCAAAATTATTGGTTACATCCACAAACGACATAATTTTTTTATAGAAATGTTTAGATTTTGTTATCACTTTACCATATTTTTGTTTAAAAGTTTTGAGAAAATAATGCAAATTCTCTTGAATGACGTTATATCTTGACACATTCATCAACCGGTGTAGATATTCCAACTCAAATAGTCAAAGAAGGTGCACTTAAATCGCCAGCCCGGTCACGAACTTCCACCAAACGGCCAAACACATATTTCTCGAATACCGACAGATCTTTACAACGAAAACGAACTTTCCACCATGCCAATGTTAAACATTCCGCTCATTGTGTTGTATATTCAAAATATAGAAGGGAGAATCAATCGAAGGATTCGATTTTATGCGATGGCGCCGATTGTGATTGTGTTTACATCCGGTTACTTGTGAAAATAATTATGGATTGACCTATTTATGAAACAACATAGGTGCTCTAATTTAAAATTAAATTTTAATTTCCCTGTACGCAGCCATGGAAGAACCGTGGAACGATATCTTATAGCAAAAAAAATATAATTTCAGAAAGATTATTCATTACGATTTAATTCCAGCAACTTTCAACATCCCGAATTTGAAAAATTACCAAAATGCGACTGTTTTAATATGATCAAATCCAATTATATCAAATATATCCTCAAATATGTGCTATTCAGATTTACATCAATGTGAGCTAATATTTAGACAATACGAATCTATTAATTCGGTATAAGGGAAATACCCCAAACACTGGCCAATAAAACACAATATGTGTTTCTGCTGGTTTATATATTATGTGTCACTCTTGCAATTATTGAATTGTCAAATAACTTTCAAGAAATGCTACTCAATTAAGAGGACATCAACTCATGACAGACAAATCGCCAAACATCTGCCTAGTTTTTAAAAAAATGAATGATGTATTCACGTTTACTGATTTGGAGAACGCCCGAAGAGCGCCAACTTGAAATCGCGCCCTCTGTATCGGCAGCTAATTGTTTTATGAATTTTGATGGCCATTTTGTTCAGGGTTATCGTAGCTTAGCAGCTATTGTCACAACTGGCTGCTAAACAATAACATGAGTCAGGATGCTTGCAACTGCATACACTGTTGTAATTAAAAAATCAGTCCTCTAAACATAAAAGACAGCAAACATGTAGATCGTAGTAACAATATATTACGACTGGTCGCAAATGACTGCATTTATGCAGCCGTAGATAAAATTGAATAGTTGAAAATAAGCTTGGTGTGCATAGTAATCATGTGATCTCATTGTTATGGTAACACATAACGATATCAAATCTAGACCAGTTGTAGTGTTTTACCCCAATGCAATGTATACACTTCTTGTGATGGTCAGTTTAACACGCATTGAATAGAGTATGATTATGAGTCACGTGATCGTATCGACATGTATACATGTTTCAAAGTGGACTGCTAAATATGGATAAGCTATTGTCAACATTTGTGGGTGGGTTATAATGACCCATAAAAATGTTCATACCAATCATTCTAAACAGTATTTTTGTTATAGAATATAACCAAGGTTGTAAACGAGAATACTCAATAGACATTTCGGCACTCCACAATCATGAGCCAATCTGTAACAATAATGTTACATAGCTTCAATGCCCCCACATTACTGCTTGCATCTGTATTAACGGCTGTATCATACTACTCAACATTATAGTTTCAGTCAATTAAAAGATAATGCTACTTGCGATTCACAAAAAAATCACGCTGGCTTGCTACACTCACTACCCCGATAAACCACTGTTACGTAATCACAAATTCACAATGAGAATAGTTAAATTTATTCAAAAACAAATAAATAATACACTCGTCCATCAATATAAATGAAATACTTACTGCCACCATAAAATTTCAGTACAACACGCTGCTGCAGTTTCAATCAGAATGGTCGAGAAAAACACATAGACCAGACTTGTATCGTTATTGTCCCTCTAAACTCAATCATCTCTCAGTATTCCCAACAGCATCTGCATTTTCCGAGATTTAAATCTCAGATTAGTTCACACGACGTTAACATTCTTTCTAATGATTCAAGCATTCACTTCGTTCTAATCAGTGAATCAGCCTGCTATATATGTTTTCGTTTTCGATTAGTGTAATATGCTGAAAGGAAACTGTTAAAACCCATTTCCAACAAAAGTAAAAAGTAATATTTCCAAGCTGAATTGAAAATATAATCATAATACTCACCAGGGGATGACCCTAACCGTGTGTGGAAGCGATAATTAAATTACTTAATCATGTCAAACACTTACATTGAAAATATAATATAAGTGTTTCGTAACCACAATAAGTAGAATCGGGACGTAAGTAGCTGATCATTTACGATACAAATCGTAAAAAAATCGAAATCTAAGACAAAAGCTATAATCAAGTATACATATTACAATCCACCAATAAATGTAAAATATTCTCCATTCGTTTCATTAGGCTCGTGTGTCGTCATACACTGTAATTTGACATTTGGACAAGCCGCTCTAAAACAGAGAGCGAAGACATTCTCTCCAGTCCCATATGAATGCATATACATATGTCTATTGTGAGAATGCATTTAAAGGAAACAAGAGTGGGACAATATTGAAACCTTTGCTAAGTGACAAAACGACACTGTTTACGTACATTACACTGTTTACGTACATTCTGTCCGTTTCACGTCTGTGTTTTTCATATTTGTAGAGAATTCGCGTAGTTGATGAAATTAAATTGTATTCATTCCATCTTGTCGAGAACGGCATGCCAATCTCAGGAACCCAGGCACATTTTGGCCTTTTCAGAACAATTATTAATCACGATATGTTTTCAGTGAATCATCCTTATAGCGATTTGCCGTGGAGTCTTTTCTTCGATCTCCTGACTCAAATACTACACCCACGAGTTTCGAACGGACTATCGTCAACTAATGTTTACACTCGATTCTGTTCACGACCGCAATAAGAAGTTCAAAGTCTCGACACTTTAATCTTGCATTCTCTATGAGATCTAGTTGGGACCAACAGACCTTTCACGCTCTTCCTGAAGCGTGCCCCGAGACACCAATAAATCAACGGGTTTAGGCAGCTATTCACGTAACTTAGAAAAAGGGCAAATACGTACCCCACTAGAAACGGAAACGCTGGCCTTCCTTCCGGTAGAGTCAGTGCGATGAATGTGGTAATGTAGAACGGCAGCCAACACATCGTGAATAAAACAACAATAGCACTTACTAAGATCGATAATTGACGAGACCCTTTGCGAATATAAGGAGCCACTGGGAGTCGCGAGGCTGATTTCTGTATTCTGAAAAGGTGAAGGCAAAGCCCAAAGTAGCACGCTGCTATTAATAATATTGGACACGCAAACCCAATAACAAACGCACTTATCACGAAAACTCTTGATATAATCATGTTTGGCCATTCGACTAAACAAGAACGACGCTCGTTTCCATCGTCGACGACGGTAGCAAATATCCATAGGGGTAGGCTGGTCAAAAACGACATAGTCCATAATAAAATATTTATCATTTTTGTTCGTTTCAATGTTCGAATACGCTTGCCAGCCATCGGGTGAACTACTGCTATATAACGGTCTACGCTCATGGCCGTCAGAATGAAAATCCCCGTGAATTGATTCATACCGTCGAACCCTCGCACGAATTTGCAAACCATATGGCCATAGGTCCAGGTTCTCGAGGCGACACTTCGAGCCATGATAGGCAAAGTTAACATAAACAACAAATCAGCAATAGCCAAGTTCAAAATATAAATTGTCAGCACGTGCTTCAGGGCTGCACGCGTTAAAGTGACTAATATCACTAGCCCATTGCCTACGACGCCAATAAGACATATCATAATATAGACTGTTGGCAAAATAGAAGCAAAATTGTCGTAAAGTGAAGTGTCGTCCACGCCATTAGCACGCACATTTGTTGTATTCGCTATGATCGTCTCTGGCGGGTTACCTTCAACAACTGCTGTGACAGTAATGTTTACAGCCATGACAGAATGATGGATTGCGGATCTACGTCAACATGAAGACAATGTCACGGTTCTTCTTTTACGTAATAAGGCATTAAAACTATCTTCCTTGTTTCGAGTGGTTACCACTAGAGAAGTGTCATTCCAATTAACTTGTGTCCGTATTCTAGAAATGAAATCCAACTAAGCTATCGCGAAATTGTACGCGCCAATGTATAACTGCATGCATCTTGTTATCGTCTGCGTATTTCCCGAGAGCAGAACAGATCTGCTCATGCGCGAGTAACAAATGCAACACGTTATTGTAATATTTGGTGCAACATCAGTGATAGGAGTTCTGTTGAATTATGCATGCAATCTGTGGAAACTATGAATAACCCACCTCTAATAACTACCATAACGTTGAAATTGCCGAAATTTATCTATAAAATTACAATTTATAATATGCAAATTAGACTCAGTCAATAATTTTCTGCATATTTCCCTGGCGTTCCGTAATAATACTAATAATAATACTAATAATACCCGTGTGTGAACGGGAAATAGGGACATTAAACAGGTGTATCAATAAAGCAAGTAGTTCCTCAATGTGAAAACAAAGAACGTATGGCATGTGATAAAGATGTCATTCCATGTATATTAGAATTACTTGTGTCATAGGGTCAATCTAAGTACTTCTCTGTCATTCATAGTTAAACACTATTAACGTCACTTCTTATATTTGTGGTTGAACGAAGACACGTATTCCGGAATAATATGTAACTCTAGTTTGCTGCCGCAAATTACATTGAAATACAATAGTCTGTGTACAGAAATACTCTTCCGATTCGTGTTACTAATGCCTGTTCAGTATTACCGTCGAAATATGCAGATCATGGTGCAATTATGCCAAATCACACTGTGGCATGGTTTATTGTGTTATATATTCAAATCACATAATTGTGATTTGATATGTACATGCGTAATTAGTTGTTGTATTGAAACAGCATGTTGTATATTGACGTCATTTCCTTTTTGTTTACGTATATGGGGGAAAAGAATATGGTCAATGTACTTTTAGTTGTGTGATGTATGTCTTTTTTTACTTCGCTGATACGCATCGATGCACGCTACTTATTTTGATTAACTATCAATTAAAGATGCACCTGAGCGGAACCTATTCAAAATGGGACAATGACTGTTTTTGCATATAACATATTCCTCCTCAAAACTAACCTTAATAATGTTAGAACAACTGAACGTGGTAGATCGGTGGACCATGCAATTGCTGTATTAGGATTGCAGAAATGTTAACATTTATATGTTGTCCATCGGTATTCCATCATCGCGGACAAGAGATTCCCCGTATTTCTGCCGCATTCATTCAAGACATAGACTCAATATAATATAACACTAAAGCATTAGGAGATGAAAAACATTTCCTGCTATTTTGTACTGGCTATATAGAACAAAGAAAAAAACTGTTTGATGAGTGTGCAATAAATATTTACACAATGGATGTGAATTCCATATTTAAAAAGATTATGGAGAATAATATAGCTTTAGCAAAATACTTAAAGAGCACAATTTTTAAAACCACAGAAAGTAATTAATTTTTTTTTTTTTTTTTATTTTATTTTACTAACATTTTATTTTTATCTCTTATGTATTGTATGTATTTATGTTTCTTACCATACAAAAACCCTCTGAAGGTTTTTTAGTAGTGTAATAAAGTTATTATTAATATAATATATACATACCCAATGCTTTGTATGTATAAGATTTATGTACTAAGTTTTATTATTGAGTATTTCCATTAAAAATACGTATTCATGTAGTCTGTATTTATTCGCGGTTTCAAGCTGTCATTATTTTTGTTGATGTAATCCCGAATGAGTTGTCCGATCGAAAGTACGAGTCTGACTAATGAATCGACTGACAAACAGGCAGTATTCGCCGGAGGCAGGCGATGGTGGAATTCCCAGCAGCAGAGAAATGCGTAATGATATAAGATTGTAAATAAACCAATATATAGACACGCGTATTTTTGTAGCATACCTGAAATTGTGTGCATGTTTACAATTGTAACAGTTTACAATTATAGTATATTATATTATCTATGGAAAAACTACAATATATGTGGAAAAAAACGTTTAATGCTAAAAGGTTCATGTACTTCTTTTTTACATTCATTTGCGACTCAACCAATTGGCTGACTGAAAAGCGTGAAAATTATAGGCTGTCTCTAATAAAGTACGAAAACAGTGTTCAATTTTACAATTTACGCTGCTAATGGCGATAACAGCCACGAGTTGCGAATCAGGGCTGATTTTAATTTCTAGATCTCAGAGAAAAACACAGTAGGTGATTGGCCAAAAAAGTGGTCAAATAGCTGCTTCTGTTGGTGACATGTTCACAGTTACAAACCAGATAACAGCATGGTTCATTTCCATGACCGTAGTTTTCTTAAACCACGACCTACATCACAATGAACTAATCAGAATTAAAAACCTCATACATTATAAAGTAAGTCAGGGATTACATTCATAGATACCTACTTAAACTTTCTAAAAATAGACTGCTAATTACAATGTGAAACCTAGTAAATGGAGTAATAATTTTATTAATTAGTACTTTGGGTACATTTTTCTGTAATGTGTGCATTTTCTTGCCATTGCGATTGAATTGCCATTGAATGATTATGCGTAAAAAAGTGCATGTCACAATAAAAAATCCCATTATAACTTAAGTATGAATGATTCGTATTTCTATGGTTGAATATGAAAACATGATCAAATATGCTAAATGGTGAAACACAAAATATGAGATTAAACAATGTGATTACAGAGTGATGAAAACAGCTTTGCCTGCCTTAAGTTTGTAAAAACACACAGGACCAAATCGGCAATAAAAAATATTATATGAAATTGAGGGGGGGCATGACAGCAATTCATTGTGGGTAATATCATTATAGTCTAGGAGTTTTATGAATATAGTGTAGGAGACATCGGTAATGTGAAGAAAGAGAGGCTAAATGATACACACATGAACACGCTAGAAGTGTCTTTTAGAAATTTAGATTGAAATTTTAATTCATTTTTAAACTGAGATTCGACCACAAATATTTCTGACATATCGCCTATTTTAATCCAATTTTAATCAACCATATCTTGATGAATTTTATTTTTCAAAATTGAAGGTATTGCCCCTCACATATATATTCAAGTAATTCATTCGTAATCAAATTCAGATAAAACACGTTTTCTTTTTCTCAAACATTCGTTCGTTATCATTGTATGTTATGTTGTAGATTAGTCTAGAATTAGTCTTATAAATTAAATGTATATTAAATGACCCGTTACAAAATAAGGCACAAACATAACCACACCACAGCGATACACATCTTAATATGAGTGCACTCCAAAGCACAATAAATGCACGTCATACTAGGGTGACTGCACACCATATTATGACGATACACACGGTACAACATAACATGAGAAATGTACAACGAAACACATCCAGACACGACGAATGTACACTATCACGCGATGTGTGTACACAATAAGACAACAATTTTGCACAATCATAAATAAATAATAAACACCATAAACTGATGAAAGAACACCATAACACGACGAATGCTCACTATAACATAATGAATGCTCACTATAACATGACAAATACACACCATTACACGACACCAGCACACCAAAACAAGATGCTTGTGCACCAACATAAATTTTATCGCTCATAATATCACGATGAATGTGCACCACAACCTGATAACTGCGCACTATAAATTGACAAATGTATACCATAATACGATATCTGCACATAATCTTATGACGAAGATACTCCATGACATATGATAAAAACACGACACAGTTCTACGAATGCACACCATAACTTGACGAACATACGTCAAACACGATGTTTTCCCGACATAATCTGAGTTTTGCACACCATAGAATATTACATCATACAGTAGCATAAAGACTGTATAACCTAACATGATATCGGTGAATTTTAAACAGTTGTGGCTTTTCATATAACACTATGACATAATTTAAATGATACCAGCTAGCTGCCACGTGTTCAGACTCTAAACGTAAATTACCGTCCAGACCCTATTTAGAGCAAGACAGCAACGAAGTCTATTTTTGCGCCTGACATATTGATTGATTGATTTTCCCGGATTTGATACGCCTGCATACTTATCGTGTATCGATTTGCGTCCGTCCTTAATCTCGAACATGGTTTTGTTCATATTACAGGAATCATCTGTCAGTTTCTCGCTAGATAATCTATGCTTTACCAGCATGCACCAACGATATTTAAACGAAACATAGTAGTCGTAAAAAATAGTCGTAGACGGGTTATCCAGACTTATTCATATGTGTTGATGACGTTGATGGTTGTCATTTATTTACTTTGTCACATGGGAAATCAATTGTGCAATTACTGCAATATGTCAGAGGTTGAACTATGTAAACAAGGACTGTGAAAAGCATCCATCATGACTACTAATTTCACAAGTGTGTTTATTGCAACACTTGTGTTTCTTCGCGGTTGAATGAAACTGTTGTCTTTTTAAGTCAATCATATATCATGTAAGATCATGTAGTGATGTGCACCTCTGAGAACGTCAACAATAATTTCAATGTAGGATATTATTTATATAGTTGTTGAAATAGTTTACAATTGAGAGCATTCTAATACTATAAATTTCTTAATTACTCATGTCACAATTACGTGTCATTTGCTCATTCTACGAAATGAGTTTTAAAACACATTTTCTACGATATAGTCAAATTTTAACCATATTTTGATGAACCAAATTATATGCCTAACTAAAGCATGTGCATAGTGAGCATATATACGCAATGCTTGCGTGATCAATTTGTCATACCTACACCTGAACATCTAATGTATTCAATACATTAGTACCAGCACATTTGTTACTAGAATTATCGAATGTAAGACGAACCAGTTAATTGAAATGTCCTCGACTGGACTTGATTTTTTCGACAATCGCAATG